ATTCAAATGCAATACAGTAACATCCTTCAAACAGACTACCCTACCACTCAGCGTTTTCTTCAGGAGTGACGCATAAATGAGGGGCTGATGATGCACTGTACTATCTACACCCTGAATGAAGGATTTGAACCTACACATACCAAATGCTACCATGATCATTCAAAGGAAGCCTTGATGATAAGGCATATTATAACAGCCTTCTTCAGGGTTTGCTTTTCTTTTGAAGACATCACACCCTGGAGAAACCACTCTTAAATGGAATTACTGATGACAGCTAAACAACAGCAAACATTATTTGCTACCACAGCTTCAATTTTTCTCCAACTATTTCTTGCAAGCTTTAAAAGCTTGTACATTTTTACCCTACTCACACATCACCCTTTCATAGAGTTCTAAAAAAAAAAATCTTTCTGAATATAGATTCCACCCGTCTCTCTGGATAATATCACAGTAAGGCCTGTAACACTTCTAATTTAATTGAAAAGGTATTTTTAACCAGGCTTACTTTCCTCTGTTGCATCAGAGTGCTGACGCCTTGTGCCCTTACCTTCCCCCTGACTGGGCTTTTTCTCTCCCCTTATAGGTCTGTGTGCAATTTACTGGCTTCAAAATCCTTCACCAATATATATGAGCATATGAAATCTGCAAAAGGGCTGAGTACATTTCACTTTGTTAAATGTGAACTAGACAGTAACAGAACCTCCCCCAGGAAGTATGTGGGGTTTGTATCCTACACTGGTCTTTATCACAAGCTGGATAGGACAACATTAAGCATGTTTTCCAGCCACGGGTCTTGGTTTCCTTGCTCTGGGACAAGTTTGGCTCTTCTCCTACTCGAGTCATAATTCCTGCATGTAAGTCTGTGCACACCTAGAAAAGGCTGTGTGATCTGGGGATCCAACACTCTAAGCTATATATGAATCACTGGGTTTGCTCTGTTTCATCTTCCCCTGCTTTCCCAATATACGCCACTTGATTGTTACAGAACAAGAGGGGGAACTCAAAGTATTTTTCCTTAATAGATTCCAAATGTTTTCCATAACAATACATGGCAATAAAACACTAACGAACTAACTGACCATTACATGTTTCCTGGAGATTGGGTTTTCTCCAAAAGCAGTCATCCTCTTTATACTTTCTGCCATGAGGGCTCACTATCTCTTTCATAATGGAGAAGGGGAAGAAGGTGAAATCTGAACTTCATTCTTTCATGACTTCTCTGGTGTCTTGAATACATTATCCCTGCTGAATCTTAGAAGTGTATCATCCCTCCTCAATTGCCTTCTTTTTTCATCACCTCATTCCCAAGACAAGAACATGAGACACAACGTCTATTGCTTGCCTCAGTCTGAAGCATGCCTCCTCCCCGAAAAGTCTATCCCAACAAGACTCCCTAGCTTTCAGAAGGTGAAGGGAAACACTGGTACAGCGAATGTGTTTTGTACTTGCTTAAGCTGCTTCTTTGATCTTGAGATAGATGGGAGTTTGGTGCTCAAAAGTCACAGCTAGCCTGTCTCTTCTAGCAAGGTATTAAAAAATATACTGTGTCATCAAGGCTGTGATATACCCAAAAGTTTCTAGCAGGAAGTCCTCACAAGATAACCACTTGTGCCATACCTCTCTGAGTTTTGTGCTCTCAGATGGAAGACCTCTTAGGAACCCTTACTTACCTTTCCCTCCAGTGTTAATGGAGAGTTCACCAGGTATTTAAACTAATTTGGTGGAAGAATGACTCCACTGCAATTAATCACGTTCTGTATATTTTGCTGTGTTTCTAGCCCACTTATCCGCTAGTTTCAGGATGCCTCTTTCAAATGCCTGTTTTGCTGCTGGTTCCTCCTCATGATCCCTAGGAGGTTCCTCTACATCTGAGCATGATCAATTCTACTCCGTTTCAGTGATTCCTCATTTATTTTATCCTAGCTTTTTTCCTACTGTTTTTCCTGTTCCACCATTTTAGCAGCGTTCCTGCTTTTCCTTTTCTAGTCTTTGCTGTCTAGAGACTCTCTCATAAATTTGGGTGAACAAAAAAGGAAACCCTAGTCACCCGATCTACCTCCACAGCTTAATGGAGGAGGAAAATACTCCCAAGACACTCAGTTAACTCTAAAAGGTTCTGGTAAGTCCTCACTGTTGATTAAACTAAGAAATTATTAGCTTCTGGTAGAGGATCTTAGATCAGTCCCAATCGCTGTGGTCTGTCTGCTCTCTTTGTGTTAAGACTAGCCTCTGCCACTTAGGCTAACATGCGAGTATTTGCACAGCATGTAACAAAGTTTTGTCAATGAAGAGTGTTAAAAAAAAAAAGCCACAATTTAAACAACTAAGCTGACAGAAACACTAGCATAGACAATGTTATACCAGGAGCAAAATCATTTTACCAGCACTGTTTATTTCTCCTTGCGGACTGTCTCAAGTTTCACCAGAAGAGAACTCTGGCCATTAAACCTTCACATCCTTTAGCTATATAGTCAGTCCTTTCCGTAAGTAGACAAGTCTTCTGTATTCTCTGTCTTCCCCGAGGAAGAACTTTGTAAGTTCACAAATGCACAATTCTACAAGTAATTTTCTTTTTTCTGGAAGGGTTGTTTTGGTTGTTAGCAATTTCCTTGCCAGTTGTGAAAAGGAACCTTCCATTTTCCACCAACTACATCTAAGTTTTAAAATAACATACGTAGACAGGTTTGCTTACACATTTTAAAATTCTAGTGTGGAGTAAGAGCTATACTTTTATTTATTAGCAAGGCAAGTTGAACTCCATGGCAGGTGTGTAAGCAAAAAAAAGTATTAACTAACATATTTTAGAAACACCCTTTATTCTAGCCTTGACAGAGCTTAGAAGGTGTGACAGCATGCTGGGTTTCTGAGAAGTCAATCACCATCCTTATTCTTCACTGTTTGAACTGGCTAGGTATTATTCCAGTTCGTGCTTCTGTATTTGATTTGTAAGCGTGTTTAATAAAAACAGCACAGAAATTTGTTTAAAAAACCAAAACAAACAAACAAACAAACAAACAAAAACACACACAAAAAAAAACCACCAAAAAAAACCCAAAACTCCTGGAAAATTAAGGGACAAGAGCAGAGATAATTTCAGCAGCTCTGCACGCATTGTTCTCCATCTGAAACATTGTGATTGTTCATGCATGAATAGCCATAATTTTAGTTTATTTGAGAAACATGGTGATGGTGTCATGTATTAAAGATTAGAATCTGACCTTACATGACCTCTCCCACCATCAGTTATGTGCTAAGATTTTAATTTTTCTTTTAAAATATAAGAGAACAACTATAACTTTCTCTGTCTTAAAATGAGAAGCAAACCAGGGATAAAATGAAATTCTTTTTCATTCTGTAGATATTAGTGACATATAAAGAAACCCTCATTCTCTGAGGAGAATGATTATCTCACAGACACAACGGCAGAGAAGAATATTAAAAGTTTTCCCCAGAGTCACACATATTTGTCAGTCTTTATTCCTCTTCCTATTTAACTTAATTGCCACAAATGGTGCTTATAACCCCTCCTTTCATTACCAAGAACATAGTCCAAGGAGGAACAGATGGCAACACAACAGACTATCTTGTCTTTTTTAATTTTCAGAATGCTATCCTACATGTCTGAATTTTTAGACTGATAATCCTTCAGGCTACAGACTCTTGGTTATTACAGATTTCAGCTACTGTGAGCCTTCCATCTTGGTTTGCTCAGCTGTTTTGTTTCAACTTTGACCTAAGCCATGCATCTATTCAAACCTTCACACTGCTGCTCAAACTTCCCAGATAGAAACTACTGTATTGATTATAATGATTCCTTTCCACAGGATCTAGACTTGAGATCACTACATTATTCCACAGAGGATCAGCATGGGCCTTGCCCAAGCCTAGCAAAAATATTGCATCCAAGTAGAAATCAACATGCTTGCTGCTTGGTGGAAGAATGACTCCACTGCAATTAATCACATTCTGTATCTCTTGCTGTGTTTCTAGCCCTCTTATCCGCAAGTTAAAAACAAAATGATGTATGACAATTTTAAGACTGTCACTATTCCTCCAGAATCCCAGGCAGTATGTTAGTAACACTGGATTATCCCTTTTTTTTTCCCTTTTAAAAAAGTGGAAAGGAAAAAAAATATTTCAGCATGTGCCTAGCAATCATGATACTAGAAAGGTTACCTTATTTGTATATTCTACTTTATCTGTAATTGATTCTACCATCTATTATCAGCATTAATCACTTTTTTTTTATGTTAACATCTAAGCAGCCATCAAGAGTGAGGCTCTATCATGCCATATACTGTGCAAACACAATTTGGCAGACAACACCCTGCCCTACAGAGCCCAGCAGACAAACTCCAGCAGAGGCACAAGTGAAAATACTAGCTAGGAAAATCTTATTCTATCAGTGTTAATCAAGTTTTATATGTGCAACTGCTATTCCTTACAGACTTGCATATTTGACTCCCATCACCTTAACAACTCATGTTTTCCTTTGGCAATAAAATGTTATGGTAAAGGCACTGAAAAAAATCAATTTCCTCTTGTCTGTAAATTGTTCCACTTCCTGCTGAAAATAACCCAGGTACTGACAATACACAGGTTTTGTTCCAAACATCTTGTGATGGGACCCTTTGACAGTTTCCAGGCTCAACCACCAAAGGCTCAACTGACAGTTTTAGAGGACCTACATTAGCTGCAAGGTCTCATGAGGCTTGACACTGACCTTCCTCTTCTTGGCATGCCAGAACCTGGATCAAATTTTTGCTATTCTGAATGATTCAGACTAATTAAACAAAACCAAACCCACAGAAGGAGAATGGATGACCACCATTCCACAATGAAAGGCCTGAGTTACTTGATGATACCACCCTCTTCTACTTAATTTCCCTAAGTTACACTGAGATACACATTGCTTTTCAAACAGTAATAACGAGAAGCAGTGTCCATGCACTTTTGCAGGAGGGCTTTTTGTTGTTTTAAGTGCAGTGCACCAAACTTACGGCATCGCTTTGAGGCTGTGAGATCACAACAGGCTGTCCTGAATCACACGTCTCCCGAATATTAACATGCAGTGGAATGTCTCCTGTATCAAAAATACCAAGATACACATATGTGAAGACCTAATATTTCTTAAATGCTCCATTAAAATAGCCCTCAAGCAACTTGAAATCAAATTCGAGTTTGGTATATTTTTTTACTTAATCTCAAAAAATTAGCATTTAAAATTAAAATTGGCTGCAGTATAGTTTCTGTACATTCATAATGATTAATGCCAAACATATTCTGGATTTTTCATCCTCTGAATCAGAAGGACTATGCTTTGTAGTCATTTATTAGAGAAAGCAGTTTGCTTTTTTGCCTCAAATACGCAGAAAAATACAGGCTGAGATACAAATTACTTTGCGTAGATAAAAGAAAATTGCTTAAGTGTTAGGCAAATGCTCATCGTGCAACTTACTGTTCAGCTTATCTCCTTATTGTATATTCTTTTCAGTGCTGTTTTAAGATTTTAATCACTGTTCAAAGACTTCTTTGAATACTTAATTTCCAAATAATAGCATTTGTTATTGCCCTTATTAGGCCTTGGATCCAATTAAAAGGTAGACAACTATTCAGTTCATTCTTTCCAAGAGAAATCATCTTTATATTCTGCTTTTCTAATGAGCAGAGAACTGTCAGAGAGGAAAGAAACGCTCCAAAGGAGAATCAATTAGTAGCTCTATTCCATTCTGAAACATACTTTCTGAAATACAGTTTATCAGCACTGAAGAAAACTTGAAGTTCCCATGTTTAGTTCATTGCTACATAGGTAATTACGAAGTGAATTGAAGACCAACTTTCTTTTAATGGGAGATAGTGCTACATTTTACATCATTGATAGCTGTAGACAGAACAGCCTACCTTAGTTCAATCTGGACTGGTCTCAGAAACTGTATCAGTTTAATTCATAGACTTCAGCAACATTTACTTAACCCAAACCAAACCAGTAAATTACTGAAGTTCAATGTAGTCAGAAAAAGAAACGTTAAAAAAAGCTATATGAAAATCCACATAGCTGAAAAGAGGAAAAAACAAACTGAAAACAAGCAGGAATACAAACAGAAAACCCAAACAAATAGCAAACAAAAGCTGTGGCTCCATGATTAGTGAGCTGAATCTTCAAAGAACTTAAATTTGTTATTTGTGATGATTACAGTCCATTTCCTTCAAATTTAATTGTTTCTTATTTGTTTCAGTCAGAATAAATTTCTTTAGGCATAACTCTGTTCATTTATTCATTAAAAAAATATTTAGGGGGTCCTTTGAAAGTTTTTTTTCACCTTAAACATTCTTAGTAGAATAACAATAACTTAGTGTATCTCCCTGGAATTAGTTCCTACCATTATTTTATGCAGACTAATTTTCATATTTTTCCCAAGGATATTTTGTTAATGAAAAAATATTTCTTCACTATCAGCTTAATAACAATCTCAGAAAACTACAAAGAGAACTGCCCTATTAAAAAATGGCAGCCTCTCTCTTTTCTTCCTCATACTTAGAAAGATGCGCTGGTACAACAGAAGCTAACAGGACTTGTTTAAGCAGAAGTCAGAGCTCCAAGTCAGAAGACAAAGCAAAATGCAATTTTAATTAAAAAAAAAATATCAAAACCTTATAAATTAAGCAGAAGCATACAAACAGCAAAAGCCTCTGCATGGCTGTTTGGGTGATAAGGGTTTGAGGAAGATGAAGTTTTTGCGCTAGTCTTCACTACAGAATGTGATGGGAACTTGCCATTGTATGTTTTTCTGATACTAACAATCACTGCTGACTGCAAAGAAAGGGTAAGCACTGAGAATAATTTGAATTTATTGTAGGAAGTAAAAACAAAAAGAATTTCAAAAATCTGTGAGTCATTGGTGCTGGTTCTATTAGCAGATAAAGTTTAAAAAGTTAGAAAGTGCAAAGGTCAGCATGGACTGTACATAAATCGTTATCTTAGTATTATGTATATCAATGGTCTAGCTTTCTGGACATACTTATGGTCATCAAACTTCAAAAAAAAGAAAGCAAAATAGGGACATTTCAGAGACAGGGAGATAAACAATCAGCAGCACAAAGTCTTTCTTGCAAACTTTCAAACACTTTCCTTTACGAAACAATAACAAGATGAGAGAATCAAAAGTATATGAAATAATGAACTGCACTCAAAGGTGTACTGGCAACTGCTAATTGTCTTCTGTCATAAATAAAAATAAAGGAGGTATTCAGTAATATTAAAGGCAGTCAATTCTGAGCAAATAAAAGGAAAATACTTTTCTATCCTACACATTGTTAGCTTGCAGAATTTGTCAGATGTTATCATGGAAAATAAAACCTTGTCAGGTTTCACAAGAGGACTAGGCACTTAGCTGAACAAACAGAACAGGCACAGGTGTTGTAAAATACAAGCAAAGTAAGTTTAGAAACACTGATTTTAAATATACATTTTATATCTATATATAAGTTCTCAAGGCTTTTGGGCAAAATTCAAACAACATCGGGGTAAAACTTTGATTTGGGATAGATGAACGTAAAATCTGTAAGCAGTAATTCTTACATTACTATATGGTATTATTATATAATGGCCATCCCTGGAAGGAGGAGCATATGAATCAGATGAAGTACTGTAATTCTAACTTTAATCCTGGGGGTATTATTCTTAATCTTAATCTGGTCTTTTGCTGACAGTTTGAAGGTAAACTTCATTCTATTTTTCTTCATACATCTCATCCATCTACTGCTCAACCTGTAAATCTCTCCTAATTAAATGCAATCACGTTCAGTTCTGCCCTCTTAGGGAATAACAAAACCCATCTATGGGACCAATGGCATGGCACATCATTTGTGCCTGTGTATCTGAATGCATGTTTGATTCAACTGCTTGCAGAGGATTTACATCCATCCACATAACCCAAGGCTGTAGAAGTCCCCTTGGGCTCTGATCACAACTCATTATATATTCAGAAAACCAAAAGATAGCCCAAAAGCATGTCTTTAATTATGTCTTGCCTTGCTATCTTAAGTTTATGTCAGACCTTGATGTTTCTGTGTTGATCTTTCTAAGTGAGCTTCCTGGTTCTTTTTAATGAAATAGCTATGGAAAATCATTGAGATAATTATAGTAATACATGGAAACACATCATTAGCACATGCAATTATCCCATTTACCAACTTAATTACGCTGTGTTATATTCTGTAATTTTTTTTACTGACAGCACAGGTTGAAATATGCCTTTTTAAAATAGCTATGTATATTTTAAAGATCAGTGTATATTTTAGCTTATAGGCATGCCAGATTGTTTAATCATGGCTAATTTTTGTTTTCAATAAAGATAAATTTTCTTTTGAAACAACATTTTGCAATTCAGCATATTCTTTTAATCTCCGCTCTTAAACACAATCATTACAGTCTGCTTGCTTCCATACAAGAGTCAAGATATCTTCATGTGGGCATAAAAACAACTACTTTAAGGGACTGCATTTCAAATTACCATATTTATTTCAATATGTAACAACTCATTTCATTTAAATGAAAAAAAAAATGAGAAAACCTCTACTGACACTAATGGACAAAGTTTAGGTCAGTTTTACAAGACCAAACAGAATTCTTGGTTATTTGTAAAAATTGTTGTTGATCGATAACATAATGAATTTCAGGTAATATAGCACGTCAATATCAAAACAATTCATGTTCTGGATTGTTTATAAATCAGAAGATTTATACATCAAGATTCAAGATGCAATTCAAGAATTTCCACATCCAGTCCACATCCCATTTACAAGAATGATCCTGATATGGACCAGGGCATACAAAAATTATGACATTCAACTACTTAAGTTATTAGTTCTGTTATATCTGAACACTGTCTTAATATAGAGTAATCTAGGATAATGCAGTTCCATACTTCAGTTAATGCTTCCCCCATGCATGTCATTAAATTTTTCTTCAAAAATAAAACCATTTCTACATCCTTACCTAAAATATCCAATCCAAGGGTTTTTGCTAGATCTCTTACACCATCAGCTCCGAAAATGTGTGTCTCATGCTTACATTTGGGACACTGGAAAACACTCATATTCTGAACCAGTCCTAAAACCTGTTAAAGAAAGGAACATTCAAACCTGGGATTCAAGCATCGATATTTCCATTATTCATATCTGAGAATAAAGAGGAAATTACCAGCAACGAATTGACAAAGAGTACTCATTTATAATGGGAAGTAGCAGTAATATCAGACTCATTAACATCATTATCAGCTCTTATTACTCTTCTCAGTTGCACTATCATTTGTATATTATCTCAAGGTTTTCACATTTATACCTCTCAAAGACTAACAAACATATTTGTAACAAGAAATACCTCTTGTATGGGCCTGTCTTTCCAAGAACTCTCCCTGACAGTATTTCATTTTCGAACTCTGAACACTGGAAGAACTTTCATGTTGTGTTTTACAGCTTTGTAATTTGCAGTTTCAGGAAACACAAAATAATAACATACCATTACAAGGAATGACACAATCAGACAGGCTTTTAAGAT